TGCTAAAGTATACTTATTAATTTATAAATATCTCAGTATCTACTTTAATTAAAGTGAGATTCTCTTTAATAAGTAATTAATCTTTATAATACTTTCAACAGCAGTACTGACTGATCTCTTCTTGAGATCAGTCATTCTGAGATATTTTTTCATCTCAGAGACTCACACTTTCATCTTCTTTTACAGATGAGTAAGAAGAATCTCTTCAGTCTTGATAGAATTCATCAATACTTCAAGCTCTGAGACTCTTACTCTGTACTGCTTAGATATCTGAGCTTCTTATCAGAGCTGATATGACATCTTCTTATAGAGTAGATAATACTTATAGAGAGACAGAAGTTATTGTTAGAGATATAATAAAAATAATAGAAGTAAGAGAAGAAACAGATATATAAGATTCTTCTCTTCTTCAGCTGCTTAGTATAGTGTAGATATATAATAGTATCAGTCAGAGACTGCACTGAAGTCTTTTTACAGAGAGAAGATAAAGAAACTGCAGAATTCTGTAGACTTAACTTAGCAGTATTCTGAGCAGAGCTCAGATATGCTGCAGAAGAGAAACTACAGATTAAGCTTCTCAGAGTCACTATTCTCAGAATCAAGCTCTTGTCAGAGTTCTCTCTGAATGATCACACAGAGTCATACATCATTATATTGACTGAGAGGGAGAGTGACATTACAATAGTAGTAGAGAGAGTAGAGAAAGAACTGAATATAAATGAATCAATTAACAGAAGAAATAACATCTCACTGCAAGGTACAGTGACTACTGCCACAGCTGTAAGAGAAGCAGAGAAAGAAGAAGAAGAAGATATGACAATGAGAGCAGTACTTCTACAGTTCATTGATATCACTGTCTTCATCTTCAACTGAGCTTTCTTAACAGTCATAGAGACTGCAGCTGCATCATGAAGATATTTACTCACTAGAAAACATCAGAATAAGTTCTTTATTATCTTTCAAGAATGATACTCTCATACACTCACTGTTATAATTAAAGAGAAGAAAAGAAAATTATGTTATAAGAAGAGAAAGATCTTTTCAAAAAAATTCTATTACTACTGTTAACTTTGTCACTAAAATACATCACTTTTACAGAGAATTTCATATATAGAACAGAATATAATGAGAGATCTGTAAGTCACTTATTAACTATATTTTTCACATTTCAAATTGATATATAAGAAACTCACTTATTATATAGTTGATTTGAACAGAGATGAGAAAAGAAGATCTATACAGTCAGTAGAAAAACTCATCTATTTCTTTGTATCATACACAGCACATGTACTGTTAAATCAGTTGATAATTATTACTATATAACAAAGATAATTTCTAATCTGATAATCTTAGAAGTATCAGAACTATACTCTTAAAGAGAAGAATATTATCATATCTCTAATCATACTAAGACTCTGCTGTGATTTTATACAGCTTATTACTTTTATATAGATAATTTCATTTTATCTGAATCAGTTTTCAATTACTCTATAATATTATTCAGATATATTATAGAAAGATCTGATTAATAAATATAAGAATTTTACTTCTATATAAGATCAGTAGATTACTCTTTCTTAATAGTGAGACACTGCTGAGATATTACTTCAGCTATTCTTACTCATGAAATGAGAGAAGAGTATTCACTTATTATCTATATAGAATAGCTAGATGCTGACTTCTTATTAAAGAAGTCAGTGATTTATCTTTTTCTTCTACTGAAATATATATACAAGTTACTGCATGTCTTATACAATCTTCTTAGTATACTAAGTATCATATCTGTGATATTCTCACAATAACTCTGTAGCTCATAAGCTCACTATTCAAGCAAGATAGTTAAGTCTACTTATATAACTTCTCAAACAAGTATCTCTATATAACACTGCTGACTAGTCATTACTTCAGTTTCATCATGTTACACAGTCTTTCTCTTAAGTGTGGAGACACATAGGTTAATCAGCAGTTGAAAGTGATATGTTCTAATCAGTTACAGTTAATGCATACTTCATATTAACATCAATCAGTAACTTTCTCAGAAGTGATTTCAGAAACTCAGAAGCCTGATTAAACAGCAGAAACTCTTGCTTATGTATAGATATTTAAATCTATTCAGTTTATAATATCTGTATTATTACTGTTCTTCAGTATAAGTGTATAAGTGACTGAAGTATAACATCTTCTATCACTTTTCTGTATACTCTTGAGCTTGATAAGACAGTTATTCAATGTTTGAAGCTGTGTGCAGAAACCTTTATAAGTCTGATCTTTATCTACTTTTACAAGAATCTGTAAGAGTTTAAAAGTTAATGTTTTCTTAAGTATACTAATCTTTATTTAATTCTCTCAAGATTGATTATCTGTTTCTAGAATCTTGATATTGAAGTCAGAAATAAATGTTATAAGAGAAGTATTTCTTTATCAAACACTCTGTAATCAATCTAATACTTTTTATTATATAACAGTGTCTCAGAACAGAATATCAAGATATTTAATAATATTATCAGATATTTACAACACTGATTCACATGCTTTTATTCATGAATAAAACTTCTGTTTTATATAATTCTTTAATCATTCATTGATATATTAATCTTGATTAATTAATAAACTGATGACATCTTTATCTACACTCAGTTTCATAAGCATTTTCATTCATTATAATGAGTAGAGAGTGAGATCAGAAGTATTGAAATATATAAAAGTATCTAAGTATTCTTTCAGTACTTTTATATTTAATTCTATAGATATTGAAATTGTCTGTACAGAAGTTTCTTATTAAGATAATTATTGAATTTCTTCATATTAATATTATTAAGTTGTATACATATCTAGACTGACCGTGTGACCGTGTCTGGGACCAGGATCAAACTTTACAGTTATCATGTTGTCTAAAAGCATTACTTCTGATCATAGTTTGTATTTATTACATTGATTTCAAATCCTGTTATTTCAAATATTAAAGGTCTCAGATTCACTTTTCAAATAAAAATCTAGTCTCTGATAAAGAATATGTTTGAATTCTTAGTCACATTTTCATTCTGATCTCATTATTGAAAATGATATTAAATGAGACTATGAAATCATTTCTCACTTACATAATATCATAACATAGTGCTCATTTGTTGAAAATTCAACAGAGAGTGTTATTAAATATCATTACTTTTCTGAACACAGATTATAATCAATATTATTTTAATTAAAAAAAAAATATAAAATACAAAAAATAATAAAAAAATAAAAAATAAAATAACAAGAAAAAATCACAACAAAAAAAAAAAAAAAAAAAAAAAAAAAGAGAAAGAAAAAAAGAAGAGAAAGAAAAAGACAGAAAGAGAAAGAAAAATTAAAAGAAAAGAAAAGAAAAAGAAAAAAATAAAAAATAAAAATAAAAAAAAATCAAGATTGCAGAACTGCAGTATTCTCAAAATACTCACTTCTTAGAGTCTTTACAATGTTCATCATCAATCATGTATTTCTCACAGTGAGAATAACACAGCTATGATGAGTTATTATCTTAACATCATCTAATAAATAATCAGTATATATCTATATAAATGTGAATAATTAGAAAATATACACTTAAAAAGTGTGATCAGAGTGAACTCTGCTGTCACTTGAATGACATCAAGAATAGAATGCTGGAATCAATAATTTCTCTCATTGATTTCACAGATAAGGTGTGTGAAGATGATCTTGAGAAATATAAGATTCTCTGACTTCTGATAGAAACAGATCTCATGAAGAGACTCTATTTTCATTATATCAGAGACTGAGTGTTATTAAAAAGCATTACTTCAATGCATATATACTTACTGCAGCAATTCACTCTCTGCACACATGACTGAGAGTTGCAGCTTTCTCATACTGCACAGCTCTCTCTGAGATGCTGTCACTGATTTGTAACTCACACAATCTCTCAGTTCAGCATGCACTGTGTATATACAGCCCTGCATGCTGGGGCTGTGTTAGTCATTATAACCTGGCATGATACTTGCTTTTCACAGGCCATGTTTCATTTGATTGAGAGGAAGAGAGGAACATGACTACTGTTTTATTTGAGAGAGAATAAGTAATTGAATCTGTAGAAGATAATTTGATTTCTTCTGTATTTAAAATTTGATTAATCTATACTCTTTAATTTGAGGGTTTCTGAGAGTGTTTTAATAGTTTTCATATCAGCTTGAAATTAGTGATTGATTGAAGAAGAGAAAAGAGAGAAGAAAGAAATGAGAATAACTTATCTTTATAATATGAAAACAGAGAATTGCTGCAATTATTTGTCCTAGTAATAAAGATCTGTTTTCTGCATGTATCTCTGATACAGATTATATAATAACTGTATATAAAGAATATCAACAGTGCATGTATTGAATAAAGATAATATTGCTATACAACACTGTAGCTGTTTCTATACATCACTGAAAGCTGTTAATATTTTCTTTAAGTCTCTTTATATTTGATAAGTTAGTAATATATTTCAATGCACTCTCTCTTTTATTATCATTATTATCATCATTATCATTATTATCATCATCATCATCATCATCATTACTATCATTATCATTATTATTATTATTATTATTACCATCATTATCATCATTATTATTATCATTATCATATCATTTCTGATCATCTCTTCTACCTTCACTTCTCTTCAACACTCACTGAAATCAATCATGTTATTTCTCTTCAAATATTCTGCGGTTCTGCGGATCATCAAGGTGCATGAGCACTGTCACAGATTGAAGAGAGAGAAGAAGAAGGCATTTAAGTGAGAAGAGACAGATTGCAAGACATGTTATAATGCCTTGAAGAGACTCTGTAAGAGAGTAGAATGATAATGATTTTAAGTAACACTTCTGATAGATTTAGACTGAACTAAGTATAGAAATAATACAGATAATGTCATCTGTGAGAGATTGAAGAAGAAGATAGTGAAGAGTCTCATACAGCAGTGATAAGATCAGGAGAAGTTCTGAGAATGATTTGAGACTAAGATGAAGAGAGAGAGAGAGAAGAAGAGTGTTACTGTAAATAAGCAGTGACAGAAGAAGATTGAGAAGATGTTGAAACAGAAGATAAAGAAGTCAAAACTGATAAGTTTTTTATTTATTAAGAGATAATGATTTTTGATAATACTTCTGTTCTCTAATTGATTAGCAGGAGCTGGCAGAGAAGAAGGGAATTGAGATCTTATTCAGGTCTCAAATGCACTCTATAATTCAGAATATTGAAAAGTCAGCTCTGCTCTCTGAGCATGTCAATCTGCTTATCACTGAGATGGAACCCGAGACAGCAGACCAGGAAATACGGGATTTTGAGACACAGATTAACCTGACTGAGAGAGAGCAGCAGAAACCCTTCTCTGAGAAGATAGTGAAGAAAGATTTTGAGATGATTATTATCTCAGATAAGAAGGAGAAGAAGAAGAAGAAGAATGAGAAATGAATTCTCTCTGAGCATGTCAATCTGCTTGTCACTGAGATGGAACCCGAGGCAGCAGATCAGGAAATGCGGGATTTTGAGGCACAGATTAACCTGACTGAGAGAGAGCAGCAGAAACCCTTCTCTGAGAAGACAGTGAAGAAAGATTTTGAGATGATTATTATCTCAGATGAGAAGAAGAAGAAGAAGAAGAAGAATGAGAAATGAATTATAAAGAATGATAAGAAGAATGAGAAAGAGAAGAAAGATAATGAGTAGAAAAAGTTTCTTTCTTTTTATATTAATTAATTTAGTTGTAAGTTCATAATTATTAATAATTGAAATTAATTTTAAGTTTTTAAAAATTATTGTACAAGTTGTAATCAAGTCAGGAACAATATATATATATATATATATATATTTAACTATCATGATTCACAAATCACTATAATGTATAAGTATCAACATTTTTTCAACATTGATATTTACAATATTAATATATTTTTAATAATATTATCTGATAATGCAATTTAGTAATACTCTCTTTCACAATATTAATATATTTCAAGAAATATAACAGAGATTAATTAAGATTATTTATTTACTTTTATACATCAATGATATTCAATCTGAGTTAGTACTAAAATTATAACTAAGCTAAGAAACAAGATTATTTTCTCTTATATTAATTCTTCTTACACACATCAGTGATCAGTTATTGAAAATAAATTATCATCTTTCTCAAATTATTATCATGTCTTCTGAATTCACTTCTTTTACTTCTATTGAAGATTCATAAACTCTTCAAGAAATTACTGTGAATCACAAAGTCTATATTGTTTACAATTCAACACAGAATGCTCTCTTTCAATCATGATAAATAATCACTTCATTCTTCACATCTGATTCCAGGTCATGAAATTTATGGAAAACTCAACACAAATATTAAGATGAACTATGAAATAATTATCAACAGATTGTATTATAGATTACTGAAGAGTCATCTCTCTGCTACAATTACTGTAACTTCATTCAGAAACATTTATCATGAACTGATCATAACTCTGAAGAAATTTCCTGACATCTGAAGTCATCAGAATGCAGACAATAAAAGAAAAATAATCAGAAAATTACTACTGAGCTGGTAAGTTACTCTATCAGATAACAATTTTTGATAATGCTAACTTTCTAATTTGAAGAAAATTATATAAAAATAACTCTATATTAGTACTCTGATTTCATAACTCTTATCTGATAACTTTCATGAACAATTACTTTATATGTGTATATCTCTGAATCTTTCTCTTCAATCAATTGAAAACTCTGAATTCTGAACACTTCTTCAAATGCTTAATTCAAATCTTCATATTTCACATTGATTCTGTCTTCAGTTCAATCTTGAGATACACTACAAAGTCAATATGCAACATCTAGAATCAGAGTTGAAGAATCATTGAAGAGTGTCTCTCACAGTGAATACATGAACTAGTACAAACAATCTTGCATTTATAAGAGTTATATGTTATTATATTGATGAGAACTGAACTTATCAAGAGACATTAATTGAATTTAAATCATTGATCAGTAGTCATACTGAGGATTATATGACAGAGATATTAATGACTGTGATTAAAAATGACTATTGAGATATTAGTCTCAGTCTTCTTACAATTATAACTGACAATGCTGTGAATAACTATACTATGATGAAGAGCTTGAAGCAAAAATTGGCTTTGCATTTCTGAAATGATAAATAAGATCATATTCTCTGCATTACTCATGTGGTTTAACTTGTAATACAAACACTGATAAAGAATCTTAACATTGAGACAAAGAATAATGAGATGACTGATTCTTGAAATGAGAATGAGATGAAAGTGATTACTCAAGTAACTTTTACATTCACTTTACAAAAGATAATGTTTTTTGATAACACTTTTTGATATTGCTTTTTGATAACACTTTTTGATAATACTACTGTTAATTTTGAATAGATTGACTAATAATTTAAATATAATAGATTTGAAACATTGCTAATATGATTTGTACCTCTTCTAAATAACAACAATGATTTCATGATATTCAATAAATAAACAAATCAGTCATATCACTGAATATGATACAGAATATTAGAACACAGTGAAGTTCAATATATGAGATGACTGTTCAGACTCTTCAATTGTGTCAGATAATTGATCATTGAATGCAACACTCTGATTAGAAAAAGATTCAGATATTAAAACTTTCTGATATGAAGTGAACTCAGTTGAAATATATGATTGATTTACTGTTTCAGTTTTATAAGATAATAAAGACAGTCTCAATCACTCATACATCAATACTGCAGTCAGTCTGGTGAATGTATAACAGTTTATTTACTTATCTTGAGAAGCAGTTGAATCACTCAAAAAGAAATTCAGTCTGAAATAATGCTATAGTGCAGGCTATTGTTACTGTAAGAGATAAACTGGCATATTACTACAGTAAAATGAAACAATCTTTTACAGAGTATTATGCTGTAGCAGCTCTACTAGATTTCTTTCATTGAGTTAACATCTACACTTCTCAAGATTGAACAGAGAAGAAATGAGACTCATATGTCAAATTAGCCTGAGACTACTACAATGTCAACTATCAGAGATTTGAATGAGCAGATGTTTAAGATGTGAAGACAGTGAAATACAATTCTCTAGTAAGTAACAATCTTTGATAACACTTCATATCACATAGAACTATAATACTAACTTTGAAACAGAACTTGCATACATTGATTGCAACTGAAAATCAGGCAAAACTACATGCTTGTAAAACTGAATTTGACTGCTATCTTCAAGATAATTCAATGAATTTACACATCAAATCAATTCTAGAGTTATGAAAAATTGTTAAGAGTACATATTCAACTGTTATACTGATAATGTGTGATATTCTGACAATTTCATTGACAGAGATGAGAATGAAGTGAAAGTTCAACTCAAGTTGAGATATTTATCACTATCACTGAGAACAATTACAAGGAGAAACAATCAAGAAACTCATAATTGTAAAACATGAAATTATCAGATAGTTTAATACCTCTGATCACAGTATATCAGAGAAGTGTAGTTTTTATGAGAAAGTAAAGAATAAACTTGCACAAGAATGTATTTAGTTGTTTCATAAGCATTATCAATAATTGTTACCAAATTCTGATTATATAAGCAATCACTGAATGAACTGAATGAGACTGATTTTAATCTTCAGTCTCAGTTTCATTCTGATTTTGAAAGAATGATCATCTTTCACAGTTTATCCTGGAAAATTACTCTCATTTCACTGTTCTTGAATTAAATCTGATCATTTTTCACGCCATTTCTCTCAGAAATGATCCATTTTCAGATTTTTTTGAGGCTTGGTCCTGGTGGGACTCACGCCAAGAAATGTATGAGATCAGATCAAATGGGACTAAATGTGAAATTCATGGTCCCGGCGGCCAGTCTATACATATCAGCTATTTATTATTATTATAATTTCAATATTACTCAGAGTTACTGTGATATTACTTCTATACTTATATTCAAGAGTTCTCTCATATTATTATTAGATATGTCATTCATTGAGTATATAATATCTGTGAAATCTTGAAGAAGTGTAATTATATGAATATTTCATACATCTAGACTGATTATCAGAATTATAAATTTCATGTTTGATCTTATTTAATCTGATCTCATACATTTCTTAGCATGAATTCCACTGAGACTAATCATTAAATAAACATACAAAGTGACTATATATCAGATCTTAAAATGAAATCATGACTTGAAAAAAATGAGAAAGTGATCTCATTTGATCTCATTTAGTCTCATTCTTGATATAAAGTTACTATTTTTAGACATTTTAAGGTTTTTTTTAGACTATTTTTAATTTTTTAAAAAGTAATGCTTTTTGATAACACTTAAATGAGATTTAAAGTCATTTAAAGCAATAAAAATAATTTAAATTAAGAAGTGAAAATCATGATCTCATTTGAAAAATGTGATAAGAGTAGATAGTAAGTCTCACTGAAACAGTATGAGACTACTATTTAATATTAGAACTGTGTAATGAAATCTATTGAATTGATAATGAGACTATCAAAAATTCTGGTTCTGATCTCAGACATAATTATATAATCAGTCTATATATATCTGAGTATTAGAACTCTCAGATCTTTCACTGACATTCTCTTTATAAGATTTTATTACAGGGTCAGAGTGACTGATAAGCAAGCTTTTATCTAAGAACTTAGTATTTACTTTAACTAATTATTTCTCTTTCTTACACATTATTATGCATTCAGATATCTCTTGATAAATAATCATTTCTAATGAGAAGATAATATATAAATAATCATTTTTAATAAGAAGATAATGAATCTTTTTCTAGTATAAGAGATCTATACTGAATAGATCAGTATAATATTAATAGATCTTATATAATAAAGAGAAAAACATTAGAGAAGAAAAAGAAAGAGAAAGTGCAAGAATCAGTGATTGAAGTGAATATTTATACATGTATATAATGATATACACAGTGAGGCTTCAGAGTGAAAGAATTCTGAGAATCAGCAATTGAGAATGACTGAGAATCAGAGCATACGCGTTCATAGCGGCTGAGAATCAGCAATTGAGAATGACTGAGAATCAGAGTGTACATGTTTGAGAATGAAGCAGTTGAAATCTGTGAAGTGTAACAGAATAGTCTATATAATTGATTAGATGCAGCCCGCCACAAGATGTTTAAATATTAAGAAAGAATGAAAGCTCTACTTGACCCGGTGACGTAGTGGTTAACTACACTATTATAAAGCCTCAATTAGCGGCCTTTCTCCCCGGGAAATGAATGTCAAGAGAGGGCAGGTTCGAACCCTGCAAGAGCTATCTTAATTACAGCTTTCACTGTTAAGTTATAAAACAGTACTGAGAACTCTCAGATGCACTATAATGAATTATTATCAAGCTTAAGATATTTATTCTGAGAATTCTCAGATATTAATTCTCACT